CTCCATGTACCCACCATGTTCCCTCAGCTCACTTACATCTCAACCCACTGACAATGATTTATGAGAAGAGGAGCCTTGGAGTCCCCGAAGCTATCTATCATCAGGAAAACTGCAGCAAACACAGGAATTATTTTAGGAAAATAGAACAGGGTCAACCTGATTACCTTGTGTATGCCCATAGAACTACTTACAGCAATTAATGAGGGGGTAGGGCAACAATGAGGCATTTGCAAAAAAAAAAAAAAAAAACATTGTCGTGGTCGCTGTAACAGATTTTGTCAGCCATGATGCTGGCATCACCTAGCTGTAGCTCTGATAGCTAAACATTGATTGATCACCTATCAGCACAGATTAGAACAACAGCTGCTGCGACCTAGAAAACAAAGCAGAATCCGGCCTATAGTGTACTCATACATCATGACCTACTTAATGTAGTTTTCCTGTCTTCTGACTCTCAGCATGGTTTCTGCTTATCTCCACCCTCCAGTGCCCCGCATTGGCTAATCTAGTAAAGAGGTTAGTGTTATTTCTGCATGTGCTTGACACTTCTGGTGCATAGAGAAAATAGGCTGGCGAAACGCAACTCAATGACAGAACAAACAGTTAGGTCGAACATTCTCTGGGAACATTCTCACAAAGAAGGTAAAAAAAAAGCTAGAGGACCACAACCTAGAAACCCCTTTTTGGTTTGGTTCTACCATTTCGTAAACAGGAAAACCGCACTCAACTGCCTGCAACCCACAATAAAGAGCACACACTGATTTTCATCCAGGCAGATCTGTGACTTTAACTCTGTCGTGTTTGGGTCTTTTTGAAAACTATACGGTTACTCTTACGTCTGACAGAGTGACATATTTGGAGTAACAGCTCATTTCTTTGTGTTTTCCCTATTTTTTAAATTATTCTTCACATTTTTTTTGTCCCTGTCCTCAGCATGAGACCCTGCAGTGGATGAAAAGAAATATCTACAATGCATTTCAGAAGTTCCATTTTTGTTTTTTTTATCACGTGCAAATAGTAGTATATTGTTTTACAGATATTATGCTGCCATGCAAATTTTCTGCAGCTCTTGGAAAAAAGATATCAGGTGTGCTTCACTTGCAAAAGTCTTTGAAGCCGTTGTGCCACAACTTTCTCAGCTGAAACTTTCTTGCATGCACGTACACCCACAACCCCCGCCCACACACAAACGAACCCTTCCGTGGTGTGAGACGCTCACACGCCAGTCCCTACCATTTACTCACCCCCTCACCTCTGCTCATGTAGGCACTTGAAGCCCACCTCTCTCATCCTTCTCTGTCTCACACCATCCCGGTGCCAGTGACATCACGCTCACGTTGCCCCACTGCCCTACTTACAAAGGGAGGGAGAGAGGGAGGGAGCTGGAGAGGAAGGAGACAGAGGTGGAGAGAGGAGAGGCTGAGGCAGATGGTAGGAGGAGGTTCTATAAATAGCACCTCCAGCTGATGGGGTTTTTTTTTGTGGTTAGGGAGATGGGGATGCGGGTGGAGAAAGTTTTAATCTTGTAACTTGTGATTCTCCTTGAAATTATTCACATTCAGTCCTTTGGTTCTGTCCATACGGCGAGTATGTGGGGTGAGACGGGGTGAGATACAGTACACTGTATGTACTGTACTGTACTGTATGTATGTGTGTATACTCATATTGTTATGTACTGTACTGTATGTATGTATGTGTGTATACCCATATTGTGCTTAAAGAAATTCTTTACTCTTGGTAATAAAAGTCTTATGAGCTTCTAATTTTAGAAAGTTCAACATCCAGGCACGTTCACACCCTGGGGATAACGTTTTAATGAGAAAGAAATAACTCTCTAAAAATGCACGTCTTATGTAAATGTTCATGCTGATGTGACTGCTCCACACTCAAGTGTCCTCGATGCTTGTGTCTCCCCCTAGCCGTTCGTTTTGGCCGCATCCCAAAGAGGGAGAAGCAGCGACTTCTGGATGAGATGCAGAGCTACATGAACAGCCTGAATGAGTCCAGCGCTGTGGACGCGGAGTCGTCTTCAGTGAGAGACGCTCTCCCCAGCCCCGATGAGGGGAATTCAAAAGAGGCGATTGGTGCCATCTCCAGAGCTTACCGTGACATCTTCACCAGCAGCACCAGTGGCCAGGAGAGGGCAGCCAAGAGAGCTAACATCACAACCACCACCAACAGCAACACCAACACCACATCCCTCTTTTCTCAGGATCCAATTTTCTCCCAAGTCTCTTCTCACCCAAATACCACCCAGGCATATCAGTCCTGCCCTGTTGCCCCTTCCCCTCTATGCCCAGTCAGCCCTAATGACAACCAGCCTGCATTTCACAATGTGGACAACAACCGCTACACCTATTTTGTGTCAGCAAACCAGATGCATGAGCAGTCCAACAGAACAGCAGCTGAGTGTGCCAATAACAACGCCTGGAATGCAGGAAGTGCCACAAATCAGCCAGCGTGTCCATGGAAGTTAGCTCCAGGAGCAAAAGTTCTGGTGAGTGTAATGATCCCAACAACAAAGTGAAATCTTTGTGGATTTGTTTGGTTATACAGTTGTTTTAATCTGAATGCTTGTATTTCTTCTGTCTGTCTTTTAGGCGTGTCCTCTGAATGCTTGCCCTGTGTCAGGTCCAGAGCGTTCCAGTCAGGAGATTTGGGAATCCTTCTCCCAGTGCTTCACCCCTGCTGTCAAAGAGGTTGTGGAGTTTGCAAAGGGCATCCCAGGATTTCAACAGCTCAGTCAACAAGACCAGGTCATGCTGCTCAAGTCTGGAACTTTCCAGGTAACGATGTTCGTTACATTTGACCCTTTTTTTCATATGTTCAAATGTTAATGATAATGTTAACGTCCCTCTGTCTGTTTGTGCTCAGGTCCTGATGGTGAGGTTCTGCACCTTGTTCAACTTTGAGGAGCGAACGGTGACCTTCCTGAATGGACAAACCTACCCACTGCCTACGCTGCATGTGTTGGGCATGGGCTCCCTGCTGGAAGCTATGTTTGAGTTCAGTGAGAAGCTGGGCTCACTGGGACTGGAGCCAGATGAAATGGCTCTGTTCATGGCTGTGGTGCTGGTCTCTGCAGGTGAGGGTGATAATGTGTGTGTGAAACACCATGACCAGAACAGTAATGTTTTTCTTTTGCTGTCATAACAACACTAACTTCCACTTTCGATGTGGTCCACAGACCGTTCTGGCATCTCGGACACGTGGGCTGTAGAGCAGCTCCAGGAGGGCCTGATTCGCGCCCTACGATCGCTGATCACCCGACGTCGCCCCGACGACACCACCCTCTTCCCAAAACTCTTGCTGCGCCTGCCGGACCTGCGCACCCTGAATAATCTACACTCTGACAAACTGTTGGCCTTCCGCATTGACCCTTGATCAGATCACATGTTCAAGGACAACACACAGAACTTTTCCACACAATCAAGTCACAACACATTCACACATGAATACATGATACCAATCAAGGACATGGTTTTGAGCAATGTAAAGCAAGGTGGTAAAAAAATACAGAGCTCCATCTTGTGGGGTGGTGAGGAGTTGCACCGTCAGTTGAGGGACGTGTACATCTAATCCTAACCCTGTCATTTCTTACACACTGCCATTTCTGAAGGCTCAACAGGGCACCGTCATTTTTGTAGTTTTTGAAACCAGACAACTTCTAGGCAATCATTAAAACTGCTAACCTCACTCTTAGATACATCTATTTCAGCTCTGATATTATAATGCAATGTTAAATCAATTGCTGTTGGACCATCAGAGTGGGTATGAGAATGGTTGGAGGGAAAACAATGACTGACTCTTTAGCCAGTGTGCTGGCCAATAGTGGTATTGCAACCAAAATAAAGCTGAATTTCTTAGTGACTTTGGGGGAGAGGTCCATGTACTCTACACAAACACACAAAGACAGACTAGCACAGCACAGCATTTGGTCTCCAGAAAGCCTGTAAAACCCCAGCCCTCTGGTGGTTTAGGAAAGTATTGTGCTGTCTGTTGACTGGCAGTGACACACCAAAAAAAAAATTCCCAAACCCTCACCAACCAACAAAGCAAACAGAGTTAGCAGACCTGGCCCCCTTTTGGAGAGGTTGGGTAATGCTCTGCTAGGATGCACACAGAGACAGTAAATGGCTGATCACAATACCTCAGTAAAAACAGAGACTCTTGCAGTTTGACTAGAACAGATAGATGAGGACTTCTAACTTCCAAGCAGTGTTTTGTACAGCTAAGTTCTTGTGAATATGCAATAACCTTAAAACCTCTTAAGAAACAATGTTCCATTAAAACAACAAGTAATTGTGTAGAGTTGCTTTCGCTTGCGGAAAAATGACCTGCGCATTCGCTCGTTAAATCCGCTGTACTTGATAATAAAACGAATGAATCATTTTTAATTCTTTAAGCTGTACAGTTTCAACAGGCCATCATGACGCAGAAATCCAATGACTCATATTGTATTATTAGACAGTTAATTGCTGTGGGACCATTAGTGATAATTGACCATTCACTCATTCACTGACCACACAGTTTGTCTTTAGGAGAAAGGGAATCTGTACATAAAATATAGCGAAATATAAAACTTTAAGATAGTCATACATCAAAAACATGTATTCTGCGTTAGGGTTCGATCCAAACGGCTGTTTTAGTGTGAACTTTGAGACACGTTCTCACACCATGTCTTACTCTTTCTGACTGATCTTCCGAATAAGGTTGGAGACACATTAGCTTCTCGTGACTGTACAGAAATAAAGTTTGCATATATTGTAGTATAAGTGACAGACTGACACACTCCATGCATGTTGTGTTTTGTACAGTAGACCCCTTGCTTTTGATTTTGATTTTTGCCTCTGTACATATAAATTCCATGTCAGTGTTTATGCATCAGTGACTAAAGTGTAATGGATCAGATTGATGGGTTCCTTGTGAAGGAATGTACTGAGATGGTGATTTGGTGAGGCCGGGTCCTAAAGGAGACTGTGCAGTAGGGGTTCTTACATAGTGCAGTCACATTTCCTATATATAAAATGACCAGCCTAATCCCTCAAATCACCAGCACTCGCTCCGCACGCATCCTTCCTCTGTACCAAATGTTTGTCATACAAACACAGAAGATATATTTTGGTGTGAGAAATCTCATTTGATTGATCTTCTCACTGGTTTGCTTGTTTGATTGTGGCTGACTGAGCATTGCCTGTATATACTGTAAATTGTTGTTCTTAAATAGAAAGGATATAATGACATAAAGTTTAAATTGTACATTACTGTGTTTTTGTCTCTTTGTGTCAAACGCCTGTTTTAGCAAAGTTGGGCTGCCAATGATGTTTCAGCTTCAAATTCAGTTAAACGAATAATTAAATTAATATGTACATTTGGGCCTAGAAAAATATTGTGCAGCAAATACATTTTTTTAAGAACAGATATATACTATGGAGACTGCATTAAGCTCAGAAAATACTTCAATTTTCTCTTTAAACTTTGAAGCTATGTTGGTTGTGTTATATAACCATAACTTTTTTTTTCACAAAATTGTGTAATAGATTACAGATTTGACGTAGCGATAAGACGTAGTAAAGATTGAGCCTAACATTAACCACAAAAACAAAAATAATAAGTGGTGTTCATAGAACTTAGCTGAAACTCAAGCTATACATGCTTACATTCAATTCTCGAAAATACATACTATTTAGACAAAGATGTCTTACAGCGAGCATTTAATAAACTTCAATAAACTAATCTGAATAAGGAAGAAACCATACTTTTAATCCAGCCTTAATCCAGTCAAAGTGGTGCACGTCAGAAGCCAGAAGTGCTTTACCAACCGCCTCGTACAAGCGGGGTGCTACTGCCATCTAGTGGTATAAAGCAGCACATCCCGGAAGTCCTGAGATCATAAATAAAGACACTTGTCGACCTGTGTGGTTGACTATCACTGGTTAATGTTAACTTTAATGAAGTGGTTTTGTACGTGGTCTTCTCTGCTATGGCACTGCAGGTAAGTCAACGCGAATAGCATACAAAACAAGCAGTTAAATGGTACATTAGAGTACGGACTGTATCCTAAAACGTCTTTATTTATTAGCACATTAGAGTACGGACTGTATCCTAAAAACGTCTTTATTTATTAGCTTGTGTATGCTAGCTTGTAGCCTAGCGTAAGTATTTGGAAGAATCGTTCAGCTGCGTGTTCATGTAAAGGATGTACATGTTCAACAATAAGTTGTTAAATGGTCATTGGATTCATCACGAAATGAAGTTACGGTCGATGCTAATTTTAAGGGAACCGGAATAATATAATAGATTCATTTTATAACCATCAAACTTACGAGGTACTTTACTGTAAGTAAATTGATGCTTTGAGAATAACCCAAAAGTAAAACATTTTCTCTGCTTTGGACTGACTTTAAAATGCCAGTCAAAGCTGTTCTGTAGGAAAATATTTTATTGTTTTATTAAAATGGTCTTTTTAATTTTGTCATAGCAACGTACAACAATAGCAGAACAATTATGATATTAAAGTGAGTAATACGTTCACACCCTGACACGTACATGTAATCCAGTCATGTACAATGCATCTATATTTAAACGTAATACATCAGCAACTTCATAAAAAATGAATAGATGTAATATTAATAAAAGAATATTAAAAAATAGTAGCCATAAATTACACAACGGACGTTCTTTCGTTTAACTTCCATATCTGAGCTATATCCATCATCAGGTTTTATGAGATGAGTCTATGGATTTTTCCATCAAAGCGAAATTCAAGATTTAAAAGTTTTATTTGTTACGTGATAGTTATACAGGTATAACAAAGAGTGAAATGCAACCCCTTAGTCACTACCTTAGACGTGTGTGTGCAAGAAATAATAATTAAAAAAACGATTTGACAAAATAAAATAACACACACCAGGAAATGAGATATATCCAAAATGAATAAATAAATAACCTCAATAAAATTAATTTAAAAAAAACTGATGTAGGTTACATGAGCTTATATCAAATAGAGATTGTTTGTTTCTGGTAAGTATGAAAGTCTGTTTCTCAGGAGGTCTCTGTAGAGTGTGAAGCTGGAGAACGTTCTGATCCTTGTTTTTGCCAAGTTACTGGCTGTGAAAGAGGAGCTGATTCCAGCATCAATGGCCACCAGGGTAAATAACCACTTCTTGTCATCTCTCTGCAGGTGTTAAAACACAGAAGGAATAAAGTTGCAACCTCTCCAAGGTCTCAGGTCTGATCTTCAGTGGATGCAGTGTACTCCACCATGTTGGTGACAGCTTATTTTGCCATTATTGTCCTTCTCACCCTGTGCTTTGTCCTCGAGTTCACTGCTCGCCGCCTCACCCCAAATCAGTCCACAGCTGCTGTCGCCAACCCGGCCTTCCGTCGTTTCCAGACCATATTCCTCCGTGCTTACCTTTTGGCTTTGTGGGCAGACTGGCTCCAGGGACCGTACCTCTACAAACTTTACCGGCACTACAGCTTCCTGGAATCTCAAATAGCCATCCTTTATGTGTGTGGCCTGGCTGCCTGCGTTCTGTTTGCCCCTTTTTCAAGCTGGCTCCCCCAAGTCTTGGGCCGCAGACCGACGTGTCTTCTTTTCTGTTTGTGCTACTCAGCTTGTTGTCTCACCAAACTTTCCACTGACTACTTTGTTCTGATTGTCGGCCGTGTTCTGGGGGGTATATCTACCTCCCTTCTGGCCACCACGTTTGAAGGCTGGTATGTGCATCGACATGTAGATGTCCATGATTTTCCAAAGGAGTGGATCCCTGTTACTTTCACCAAAGCTGCCACATGGAACCATGGACTTGCTGTTGGAGCAGGACTGGTGGCCAACTTGCTGGCTGAGTGGCTACACTTGGGTCCAGTGGCTCCGTTTCTCCTGGCTGTTCCCTGTCTTTTGTGCTGTGCATGGGTGGTGCTCACTGACTGGGGCAAGGAGGAGGCTGAAGGAATTCCTCAAGGGGATAAACAGGCACCCATCAACGCTCCAAATGGAGGCGTGACTCACTTGTCTGCAAAGGCCCGGTTCTCACGTAGCTGTTATGAGGGCCTGCGTTGTCTGCTGTCAGACAAGAGAGTCATGCTCCTGGGTGGAGTGCAGGCTCTGTTTGAGAGTGTCCTCTACATTTTTGTGTTCCTCTGGACCCCAGTGTTGGACCCTCATGGATCTCCGTTAGGAATAGTGTTTTCCTGCTTCATGGCTGCCAGCATGGCTGGCTCTTTGCTCTACCGTCTGGCCACATCCACTCGGTACCATCTACAGCCAAGCCACGTGCTCTGCCTGTCTGTTCTCATGGCTTTCTTCTCTTTCTTTATGTTAACGTTTTCCACTGTGCCCGGCCAACCCAGACCTCACGAGTCCTTCCTGGCCTTCCTGCTGCTAGAACTGGCCTGCGGCCTCTACTTCCCGGCACTCAGTTTCCTGCAGGGCAGGATAATCCCTGAAGAGAAGCGAGCGAGTGTGCTGGCCTGGTTCCGACTGCCTCTGCACCTGCTGGCCTGCCTGGGGCTGTTAGCACTTCACGGAGAGGTTTCAGGAGCAGGTGAAGGAGAAGGTGGCAGCGGCACCAGGCACATGTTTGGAGGCTGTGCTGTCATGATGCTGGCAGCTCTGATGGCTGTGGTTAGTCTTTTCACTCTGGGCAGAAATGATACAGACCTTAGAGTGGAGGGAAACAGAGGAGGAGGGGAGGGGTTCTGAGGGGTTCTGGGACACAGAAGGACTTTGTTCAGTTTGGTGGGAGAGAAAATAAAGTTTTAATGGTGTGAGTTGTTGACAATTGTTACCAAAATCATGGATGAAGAAAACAAATTCCAAAGACAAAAAGCGAGGATGAGGTTTATTTTTATTTTTGGTGAAAGATGCATGGCTAAGGTAGTTTACATGAGTTGCCAGATTCACTGCTCCTGAAGAAAGAAAAAGCTGAAAGGGAGTGGGGTGGATCACATGTAATCAAATTTCAGACTTCATTTTGTCCTTTTTAAAGGGTAGTAATTATTCCTGTTTTGTGTTGGGATATTTTTAACACGTATCAGCCGACATCAGTGTCTGACACTTCACTATCATTCCATGACTGCAGATGCTTTATTCTTTGTTTTGTTTTGTTTTTACTTAAAACAGAAGGAATATTACTTTTCAGTAATTGTGACACATATTAGGAAATGTGAATGGATTTACATGGAAAGACATGTACATGTTCTGGGTATTTATGTTTATGTAAACACAATACTTTGCTTTCTGGTTATTTACAAGATTATTTTTAATCATTTGTCTTGGTTACAATAAAAAGGTAATATTATATATGATACAACGTCATTTTTTTACTGGTATTATGTGTTGTTTAATGTATTATGGTGAATTTCTCAATGATCATTGATGTATTTTCTGTTTGATAGTTATCCCCAAATTACATACACACGTGTCATAAATGAACAGCAGAGGTTTGATATTTTCAACATACACTTATACTTTCTTATTAAACTGTTTAACTGACATTAGAAGGCAATGGTTCTTATAGTGTGGGGCAGGGGGCTCTAAGTGGTACAGAACTTTCTTCAGAACTTGTATCTGTGTTTAACCAGATGATCCTGTTTTTCCTACTAGTTCTCAGTAATTTATAAAACAGCTGAGTCTTAGAAACAGATGGATTTTCTCTTTAAATGCTACTACATGTTAAGTAGTTGAATTTATTTCAGGGGCACTGACGTGTCAGTTTTTGTAATATTCATGTTAGAACTACAGCTTTCATAAGGTGTTTGTTATTTTATCACCTGATTTTTAATATAGTTACAGTATAATATAATGTTTAATGAATGAATAATTCATCTGTTCTAGAAGTGTTTTCGATGCATGCTGATCTGTTGACATTCTCCCCATTTCTATGTTCCTTGTATTTTCTGGACTTTTCTCCACGTAACAAACGTAACACATCCATTCTAATTCCCCCCTTTTTTCCCTGCTGCTATGGTACGGTCCCAGCTTCTCTCTGTGGCGCAGTTTCTGATGGATGCTGCTGGAACATCCCTCTGTGGGTGAGGGAGGGGGGACTGCACCGTCATAAATGTGTTGTTAGGGAGCAGGATTACAGTGTAGAGACAGTGATTCCAGTCTGACGAGAGAAGAAGAGGAGCATCTTGATCACTCAGCTGTCAGTCTACAATATTAGACAAGACGCCACAGCCACAGACTGTGACAGCCATTCACACTGAGACAGACTGCAGGAGGATAGACCAGCATCATGACGCAGGGAAAGGTAGGTCTCTGTTTGTTTATACACTACACTTCACATCATTATCTAGTGTTTCTGACCTGTGGAGGTTACTGACCGCAGCTGTCATTTTCACCTGCACACGTGTCCGTAGTGTTCACTAAAGACCTGCGTGACCACAAGAGACTGCGCACACATATGTATTGAAATAGCATGTAAATAGACTACAATAGTATTAGTTCATTCTTACTGCACTGTATTGTATTTTGTTGTCACTTTACACAGTGTGTAACTTAATACAAGCCAAGTGCGTCATCCCTGGCCTCATTGCGTTGCATCACCTTGACTTCACTGCAGGCTCTGGCTGCTGGAGGCTCTGTGATTAGACATTCTGTGTTGTCAATATTTAATTAATCAGAGGGATTAAGAGACAATAAATAAACAGTTTAAGCAAAAATACACAGAAAAGTCATTGTCAGGTGTACTGATGACAACAGATATTTGTTGGTTGTAGCTTTACATCAATGAAATTATTAAGGTAACTAATTTTACCATGTTATAAGAGAATAAATTAAAACCATTTTTTTTATTTTTTTGTTAATGCATTTCTCTTATGTCTTATCTGGTCAAATATTTCTGCAAATGGTTGCATTCAGTCAAGCCAGAGTGATGACTTAAGCAGGGTTTCTTAAACTGTGGCATGTGTACCGCTGAGTTACTCGGGCTCCCTCTAATGGTAAGCAGGGAATCTGATTCACATTAGGATTAGGTGGGTCACTTATTTGCTGAGTACAGCTGTTCATACTCTTGCTTCCTGTGTGCGTGTGTGATTGGTTCTTTTTGAAGTGCTACTTCATTGTACGCCACAAGGCTTCTTTGGCTGATAAATTGAACTAAAAGAAGTGAAATAAAATTTCACTTCTTTTACTAAATCTGAAATCTGACACCAGAAACATTCAAGACAAGGCTACATTCTAGCCTTTATAGCAGTGTTTCCCAACCCTTTTTGAGCCACGGCACATATATGTCATCAGGAAGCCCCATGGCACACCACCAAACAAAAAGTATATTTAATGAAATATAATAATCTTTTCATTAAATGACCTCATAATTGACTAAAATCTTGGCCTGTTTTGTTGAAGACAATGTTAATATACTGGCAGGAATTGAAGAAAGACACTCGCAAAGATCTTCAACAGTGCTGAGTATCCTTTTTTTTTAGCTTTCATAGCCATCTGCTGCCACCTATCAGAAGAGTATTTAATTGTTCTGCCTTTCATGTTTTAACGAGCAAAAAAAAAATTATATGCAATGAATAAATAATAGTTTTCAGCCCAGTTCAGTGAAACTGGGTAATTTTTTATGCCACAACTAATGATCTATCTCGACACACTAGTGTTCCACGGCACAGTGGTTGGAAATCACTGCTTTACAGTATCTATGAAGACATTTGTTATTTCCTGATTTTTAGTCTAAGATGCTAAGTTACATCTTTTTTACTCCATCAGCTGTTCCCCGCAAACAAAAGCACCAGTGACTTGTACTGTGATCAGGCCTCAGTTGTACCAGCTCCTCCCAGCTATGACGAAGCCACTGCAGGTAGGTCAGCATGATTCTGCAAACAGGAATGATGGGTGTATTGTGGTATTTAGATGGTATTACTGGTTATATTATTTATTTTTGGAGGTGGAACATGTCATAAAACATTTGAAAACCACTGATATAAACCACTAAAAAGTCTGAAATATTTTTTTTATAGACAACAGTACCCTGTGTTACAATGACGTTGAGATGCTCACAGAGATCAACTGGGATGATCTCAACGTCAGGAGGGTTTTCATTCGTAAGGTATGTTACTTTACTGTCACAAGGATAAAAGATTTATTTTTGTTTTTTTATTTGACTGAACTGAATTACTACTGAATTACTGTTTTGGTCTCAGGTTTACAGTATCTTGATGATCCAGCTTTTGGTCACTCTTGCCATCGTGGCACTGTTTACCTTCAGGTAAGTCCAGACTTAAAAAAAAATCCTAGTAAAAAAAAAAACAGTATTTTTTAAAATATATTAATCCACTAAAATGATCTTGCCTTTCAGTGACCCTGTGAAAGACTATATCCAATCCAACCCTGGCTGGTATTGGGCCTCTTAGTGAGTAATACTATTTTTAAAAAAGTAAATATTACCTGCTCTCGGTGCAGTTTTTTAGCTACTTTGTGACTTTCTTCCATCCTTAATTTTCATATAAATAACGTGGTAGTTGTATGAGCTGCAGCAGGCATTAAAATGACAATTCTGAGAATTTTTAGGTTGAATTCCTAATGTGTTGTTGACATTTTGTCCCCTTTCATTTCTGTGGTTTATGTCTCTATAACATTTCGGTATTTGCTTTTTAACAGCGCTGTGTTCTTTGTCACCTATCTGACCCTGTCCTGCTGCTCAGCCCCGAGGTTAGTTAATTTGATCAAACGTCAGTGAACATCAACAAAACCTTCTTATACTAATATCACTCACACTTGAAATGTGTTCTTCAACAGGAGACAGTTTCCATGGAACCTGATTCTGCTGGCCATCTTTGTGAGTATTGTCATATTTACATACACATCTAAACATATTTTTAGAGACTGTTACAGATGGGTTCAAAAATATTTTTAAATAAAAAATATGCTATCCTATAAATGCTATTACTTTCGTATTTCCTGATTTGAGAGGTTTTATGGTTCCTATTTCTTATTTGTCTTTTTACAGACCCTCTCCCTCTCCTACATGACAGGAATGTTGTCCAGGTATGATTAATGGTCACACAGTGATCACTCGTCCTACATTGATTTTGTGTCTACGCATTGATCAGTCTGGGTTAGATGGCATGTCATCCTTTATGTTCTCTGGTTGTCATATATTCTATAAAAATGTACTTCACCTTTTAATTTCTCTTTCGTTTTTATAGTTATTACAATACCAAGTCAGTGGTGATGTGTCTGGGCATCACAGCATCTGTTTGTTTTCTGGTCACACTCTTCAGCTTTCAAACTAAGGTCTGTAAAAATTGTGGGTTTTTTTTAATCATTTTTACATATTTTGATGTGTTGATTGAGGGTCAAATTATTTTGCCTCTTGTTCTTTCTCCACTCAGATGGACGTGACTTCGTACCAGGGGGTGCTTTTCATCTTCTGCATGGTCATGTTGATCTCTGGCCTGGTGCTGGCCCTCGTCCTCCCCTTTCAATATGTGAGTGTACCTGCTTTTCAAAATGAGGATCTGAATGTTACTGTATAACATTTAACTAAGTCATCAATATCATTTAGGTTCCGTGGTTGGATGGCATTTATGCAGTCTTGGGAGCAATATTATTCACGATGGTAAGAGCAAGTTTTTTTTACTTACATGTATCTGCTCATGTGAAATATTTTGGATGGATGGATGGATAGATAGATATTTAATGTATATTGTATTTTTCTATCTTTTGCAGTTTTTGGTGTTTGACACCCAACTGCTAATGGGAAACAAGCACTACTCCATGAGTCCAGAGGAGTACATCTTCGCCACTCTCAATATCTATCTTGACATCATCTACATCTTTTCCTTTTTCCTACAAATCTTTGGGAAACGGGATTAAACCATTGTCTAACAGACAAGACGTACCATTATAGTTTGTATGAAACAATGCTTCCATTGTAAAAGCTTTATTTTCTTAGTGATGCTAAGGCGAATGCCAAATGAGTAACTGATATGTCAACAAAGAAACATACAACCGCAACCTTATCCCTACTGTCTAGACTCTACTGTGTGTGAGAGGCCTCAGTATAATCAGGCTGATTACTAACTGTAGCCCTAAAAAACAAACAAATGGGAAGTGCATTCTCTATCTGCAACCATTTCCAGGAAAACTATAGATGTCAATGCTACTGTAAAGGTACAGTATTTGTTTTAGAAAATGCATGCATGAGTTCAGTATGCTAAATATAATAAATAAATCAATAGGCTGTGTCTTTGTATGTTAATTTAGGGACTGAAGGCACATGAGCAAAATATTGCTATATAATTATAGAACATTTCATTTTTTTAAAAAACAGTTACATGACTTTAAGTGAATTTTGATGATGTAAGACAATCTAAATTTATATATATTTTTATTATTTTGGATATTGTTCCTACGTATCTACATTGGTTTATTTGTGGTACACAATGTGGTTAAATGTATTCCATTTAACCCTGAATATGACTTATTCTGCAAGTATTATTTATGTACTTGATGTGATTTTTTTTGCAGTGTTTTATTTTAACCAATTATCTTGTAAATGACTAAACTACAGACCCCTGAAAAACTATGACCAAGTGCCATATGTGAATGGACTCACTGTAACTTAAGTCAAATGCATGTATTTGTGCAATAACTTGAATGACATGTTAAATGATATTTTAAATATATTTTTGACAGTTTGTGTAAAAGTATTTTAGAAGGTTTTTGAAAAATGAATAGATTTTAGAAGTGACCTTAGATTACCTTTATGAGAGAAAACACTCGTGCAGAAGGGATGTGTTGCTTTAACCCCTCACCTAATATTAGTTGTCCCAAACCTGTGGCCTGAGGACAACTTCTGGCACACAACTCCCCGCGTCTGGCCCATAATAATAAAATTATTTAATTATACCCCTTGGATATTTTTTTATGTTGCCAATTTAAGAAAAGTTCATGTGGTCCTCCACTGTAATGATGGTGGCAGAGGTGGCCCCAGCTCATTTGAGTTTGAGACCCCAGCTTTATATAGAAGTAACTGGGTTTGTTCTGATTTTTCTTTTCTTTTTTTCAGAATATGTGTCTCTGCTCCTTGTCGTTAGTTATTTGCATCAAACCTCTCTTCTGGTATCTGTGGTTCCGTGTATGTGTTTGAATGTAGTAGCTGTTTGAATGTGTTTTAAATAAAGATAAATCATGCATTAAAAATCTGTGTCGGCTCCACGTGTTTTTTGAAACAAAAAAAGTGTAGAAGAGAAGTTTATATTTCACTTTGTTATGGAGACATAATAAACATTGGATTCTTGATAAATAATAAACAATACAAATATGGAGTTTGACAGTGAAAATAAATTAAAACAACGCAATAATAAAATAAAGTTGATTTATTTGTCCTTTTAAGTGACTCCGCATGTTTGTTTGTGTAGCAATGAAAAATCCCTTTAAAAATACAACAAATTCAATCTGCAGCAGCAGACCAATCACAGCGCGCGATACTAGGCAGTGCTGTTCAGCCATGTTGTGGTTTTGAATGAGGAAGAAGCGGGAGATGGTTTTGTTCAACGACTTTATCTGTATTTAAAGTCACCTTTATACAATGTAAACTAGTTTGTACGCGACTCAACATGCTAGCCGTTTATTCGAACCTGTTCGTTGCGACTTATCGCGTTCCAGTAGGAATTTAAATACACTTGAATTAATTAGCCGTGCAGCTAACGGCGTCAGCTAGCACGCCGTGCTAACACGCAGATAACTGGCTAACGGTCAGCTCGTGGTCATATATTCAAAAAAGTAAAATGATGTACGTGATGGCTGTTCGCGTTTCAGACAGCCTCAGTTAATCCGCTTCAGTCGAATGAAGGCGCATGAGCCAAATTCTCTGTGACCGCATTGTCAGGTTGACTGAAAGCAGCCTCAGAGGTTCGTAATCAACGGCACTCTCTGAAACTTTTTCAACCATGTTGAATAAAATCTACGGATGGATAGGAACCAGCATCGGCAACCTTCGCAACGGTGTAACACCTGCAGATGAGGTGGCAGCAGCGGCAGAGCGGGCACCGGGAGAGGGACAGACGAGGAGGAAAAGACCGATTGAATGGTATGAGCCGTAAACCCGCTATTTCCCCAACGCTGGGACTGAATGACACGGGATTTAAAAAGACAACGGAATCAAAAGAGCTGTCTGTGTGTGCTGCACTGGTCATTTAATTTACTGCTTATTTGTAAAGTTTTATAGAAAGTAATTATTTCCGTCTGTACTTTTATATAGCGTACAACTACGCATGGTAGCACTACCACAACGTATATCGCTATAAATATGATGCACTTTAATATCGAAAATTAAAATTGTATTGAAATATGTTACCCGTTCAGACTATGTACGTAGGCTTCAAGATTTTCAAAGCTGGACTTCTACCTGAAATGTTGTTTTTGTTGTTGGTGTTTTAAAGTCAGGTCAGCTATTGAGCAGGATCTCATTTAGACAGTAATGTAAGGAACTTTTCTACTTTCTTTCCAGTATTAAATTTTTCCTCTAGGGAATAATCATCTGTATTAAATCCATTTGTGAACAACCCAATGTTTAACACCAAACACATTTTTTTTAATCACATTTGTTAAGGGTCCGAAGTAAAATTGCTGTTTTACAATCCGGCCCTTATCATTTAACCACTAGTTTGTACTATCTTTGTACAGTTTTCAGTCTTTTTAAGACTAAGTCATAATTGAACTACTGATTTCAGAATATTGTGTGTGTTATATAGTTCACTTTTTTTTATACCTAATTTGCCTGCCAAAAATCCTACAACAGTTTTTTTGTCTTCACATGACATTCAAATAACTGTATTTGCATCCGTTTGTTCCGTAGTTTGGAAGATGGACATAACATGCATCAAGATGGCCTACTGATGAAGAAATCCAGAATGGGTGAATGCAAAGCAACACACTCTTTATATTCGACAGTATTCGACTGTCGTACTGACTGGTCTTTCTGTTATGATTTTGTCTAGGAGACATTATTGACAGTGTCAAAGTTGCAGCTGAAGGTGTCAAGAACCACAGTTCTGTTGTTGCAACATGGATGAAAAATACTGTCAGCCCAACCTTGAAAAATATACTCCCTGCCTCCCCTGGGCCACCACCTGATGGAGTGTCACAGCCTGCATCTGCATCAACCTCATCTGCAGCGGCAGCAGCCTGGACAGGGAGGCGGGTGAGGGAACAATTTGAATGCAACACACTTACACTTTAAACCACTCGCTTTGTCATTATATTGACATTATCTGCTTGTGCTTTTGTTGATGATAAGAAGACTGAAAGGAACACTCTGCATTATACATTTGCTTCGCCTTCAACCACTTTGGAGTGGAAAACATCCAAATCAGGTAAGTCTGGCATTGCTTTGAGCATTGAGTCAATGCATCCATGGCCAAGACTTAATCTTGATCTTTGTGCTTGTTTTTTGTTTTGTTTTGTTCCACTGTAGACTTATTGCGTAATGAAAAGTCCATTTTGGGGTCGAAAGTCTGCAGGCGACAAGTGTGCATGAGTTCTACCCATCGGGAGGTGCCAAAAACAAATGGACATTCACTTAACTTGCCAACTTTTGCTAGCCCTAAATTGCACTCATCTCCACGGTTGGGGCGGCCCTTAAACATCCGACCATGTGGAACACCAAGGTAATCTTTTGTTCCCTCTACAAAAGTGTTTCTCTTTTTGGCTACTACTTGTTTTTTGTTTCACAGTTTATCAACACATAATCTTCAGCCAATGTTGGTTTTACTAATTATTTTTGGTTTGCGATTTGTTCAGTGGACTAAGCACCACAAACAGCTCTTGCACTAGTGTTTATGAGAAGACCTTTCCCATCAAAGTGATGCAGAGTCCAACACACAGCAACTCATCTGGGCGCACAGAGACAGCCAGGCATCACTGCACAGCACGGGAGGTCAGGCGGCAGAACATGTAGCTATTGTCTGGTTCCTGACAATGAGGAGTTTCTGTATAGAGCTCATGATTTTTTTTTCCCCACTGTGTTTGTCCAGTCCGTTCGCGAAGAGGAGAAGGAGGTTTACAGGCAGCTTCTGAGTATGGTCTCTGGCGGACAGTCGTCTTTCCTTCGCTCCGGCAGCTCACATGCCATCGTGAGGTCACACAGAGATTTGTAAGTACCACGATTAACTGTTGTCAGTTCTCAAGAAAATGCAAGGCACATGTTAATCTAATTGAATGTTATCATGAAAAATGAGAATTTAAGTTCTCTATCTGAAACTTAAGTTATGAAATATATATTTACATCTACACCAGCAGCTTAATGACTGCAACAGAATAGTAGATAAATGAGAGAAGTGAAGTCGGGGTGAATGCCTGAAAGAAAACACTCCAATCTCTCCTCCAACACTACAAACCTGTTTTTGTTTCCTTCTGTAGTTCTGTGCTGAGAATAAATTCACAACGATGCCAATGTGTGGGCTGTTACCTTTCTGTGTAGAGCCATGCCTACACAGCACTTGTTTTTTTTTTTTGTTTTGGTCTTCTCAGCAAAATCTGTGTGGAGAGAGGCTGAAGACCAAGAACTGGAATTATATAAAGTAAAGAAAGTAGAGGCAGGATAGTGTTTTCAAAACCCCACAATCTAACAGCTATTATTGTTACAATGTTTGATAAAAAATTATTCTCTAACTAAAGTTGTATACAACTTAAACACAGGAAACAAGAAGACTATTTTTAATTATTACTAATTTGGACTGTGACTGGAATGACAATAAAGATCGTCGGACAGTTTCACCTGAATCAGTTTCATTTGCATGACGTTTGCTTTGGCATTGGTATTGTTAGCTTTGTGGATAACAATTCCTGTTGTGTTTAACATTTGGTTTGACTGTCACTTTATTCGCACTTATCTATTGACACTGTCCTTCTCATCAGCACCAGCTTCCTGACTACCAGCCGAAGACTCTTGCAACACTCGTCACCTCCTGGGTCGGCCGCCGAAGAAACCTCAGAGGGCACCAGTTGTCCACCCAGCCCACGAGGAGTGTCGAGTCAGAGTTCCAGCAACCTGCACAGTCCGGTGGGCAACTTCAACACACAGGGGAACCAGATGTGGTCTGTAGATACAGACGTCACCTTCAGCAGGGACACCTCTCCTCCATCAGCTCTGCAGGATAACTCCTCTCAGGACACACAGTCATCAGGTCAGATAATGTACTTTACAGAGACTTTGGCATCAGTGAACCATGTTTGACTCTAAATAGACAATGGGCATCTCATTTGAATTTACATGAGGTGTAAATGGGAAATTTAACAATTATTAAGTTGTTTTTTTATTTCAATTAATATTTATAATTTCAGTCGAAATATACCAATGATAATCACTTTTTATGCAGTAAAGGTTGTTTCCTAAACTCTCTAAATTATCATTGGGGCCAGTTGTTGCTCACAGAAAATTTCAACTCAGAGGACATTTTTACAACATGAACCTTTGACAGAACACACACTTACTAAAAACAAAAATGATCAGTAGTAGAGTAATAAATTAATTTTTCCTTCTCCAGTCTGACTTCTGGTTTTGTCTTGCAGCTCATGATGGAGATTCTGTAATTATCATAAGTGAGAAAAAGAACTTGAAGAAAGACAGTTCCAGGTAAGTGTTTTTTCTTTCTTTTTCTTTAGTTAAATTGTAGGTTTATTTTTAAAGAAACTTAACATCTTTTTACTAGTGACTTTGGCACCTTTTTGCTTATTAATAAGTGGGAAATAAGTTGTCCACACAGTATCTGTGAGCTGTAGTTGGATAAATAATTGAACCAAGGTTTAAGGAGGTTGATGTGAGTGATTCATCCATCTGTCTTTACAGTGTGCCATGTTTCCAGGCTGAGTTATGGATCAAAGAATTGTAAGTACCGGGGAAAACACATTTCAACAGCAGTGAATTTGTTCATTATTTACTGCCATTGTGTCTAAACCGCGCTGTTGTTCTTATGACTGTAGAACAAGTATGTACGATTCCCGAGCGAGAGAAAGACGGAGGCTGATCGAAGAGCAGGAGGCTCTGGCTGCGCAGCTGCTGCGACAGGTGACTGCGAACTTCACATTCATTCATCATCCCCTGTCACAGTTACTGACTCCTGACTTCCTGTTAACCTGAGTCACGTTGTCTCTATTTTCCAGCGTCTTTCTGAAGAGAGCCAGCTCAGCCCAGATGTGGACGTTCGTATCCGAGTTCCTTTGGAGAAGGAGGTTCCTCTGACCGCCTTAATAGAAAAAAGAAAGGTTTTGGAAGAGAAACCAGAATTCCCTGAACTAACACAGGTAAAATGAATGACTTAAATAACGATGCACTTAAAGTAGTAGTTATTTTATTTAGAAAAAGGTTTTTAAAAAAATTCTAATCAGTGGAAATCCAAGTGCGACGATGATGATGGTGAATTAAAAATCGTAGGTGGTTCCCTATGGACTCAGGTTTTTTCTCAAAGGTTGAGATTTCTCTGTATTTATTCTCCTGGTGTGTCCGTTAAGGAAATGGAAGCAGACGTGAACCGGGTGTTGAAAGGAGGAAGTCCTCACGAGGTCATGTGTGAAGGTTTTGGTCTTAGTCTGACACGAAAAGACCTGCAAACCCTCAGCAGCCTTAACTGGCTGAATGATGAAGTGAGTTACACTCAGGCTGAACCAGTGTGGCAGTAGGTACTACAGCAGAACAGGTCTCCCTGATCTGACTCAGTTCCCTCTCTTTCTGTTTCTCAGGTGATCAACTTTTACATGAACCTGCTGGTGGAGCGCAGCAAAGACGCCCATTTGCCCTCAGTCAACACATTCAACACATTCTTTTATCCCAAACTGCGCAGAAGCGGCTACTCTGCCGTCCGCCGGTGGACAAAGAAGATGGACATTTTTTCTAAAGACATCCTCTTGGTTCCCGTCCACTTGGGGGTGCACTGGTGCCTATCTGTAAGTTGAACCAGTCCTGGTTTTAATATTGTCAGTGTCAGCGATTTGTTTTGTAGGTCACGTTCAAATTCATCTTCTTTCTCTCTCTGAGGTTGTGGATTTCCGGAAAAAGAAAGTCATGTATTTTGATTCTATGGGAGGAAGAAACGAAGGGGCGTGCGGCTTGTTGCTGTAAGGAAACACATGGAACTAAACTAGAATGAACCTTAAAAGAAAAAAAAAATGCTGAGTTTTTTTTTTAAAGGGGCATTAAAATGTATATTTTTTTTTCACAGTGAATATCTGCAGGAGGAAAGTAAGGACAAAAAAGGCAAAAATCTGGATACCTCAGGATGGACCCTGCACTGCAAAAAGCCCAACGTAAGTGTAGTAATACACAAGGACTAAATGTAACTACAGTACATGTAGTTATGATGATGGTACCATCCCATGATGTGGTATTAGAATCAAAAAATCTATTGTCCAGTCAGACAAAGTCTACACACGGGTTTAAGAAAAGAACTACTTAACATTTACTGACAGACAACACAGCAGGAAAGAACATAAGTCCTGAAAAGGAGGAACATTTGTGAATCCATCAAAGTATATAAAAGTCAGATTTCTTATTTAAATGTAAATTTTTTGCATAATGTCAGAAGTGCTGTCAGATTTTTACACCATAAGGACGTGTTCTAGTTAAAGAGAAAAAATATTCATAAGACTGCTTAGAATTTACTGTGTAGCGAGGCTTCCTCCGGCATTTACTCAACTAGTCGCTCGTGTCCCCGTCTCCACTTTGTCTCATTAACATATGGAGGCTCTCTGCTAAAAAAACAGAGAAGCAGTTTTCTAGAACAGCTAAAAATAGACTTTGGATATTTTTGATCTGCAGGATTTTCATCTTTAAAGAACACAAAAACATTGCTATTCAACAGAATACGACTCGTGTATTTTTCTTACGTCCAAATATTGTTGCATCTGTCCATCAGTGTCAGATTCATGTGTGTCCTTGAGGAATGTGAGGATTTTTTTTTTATTTGTCTTTAAAAGTCTTTATAGCGTTGTCCTAAAATGTTTTAGCAGTGTAGTAGCAGCCAGTGTACACGCTGCCCTCCTGTGGCCAGAGATAATATGGGTTTTATTTTTGATGTACGGTAGCATCAGGGCCAGTCAGACTACCAAAGATAATTAGATATATAGTCTGGAAAAAACGGTTATTGTGATTAAATAGTTACAACACACTCACTCCTGAACAAAGCTAACAGAACGGTCTTCCTTCTCCAATCTCAGGAAATCCCTCAGCAGATGAACGGCAGCGACTGTGGAATGTTCACATGCAAGTATGCAGATTACATCACCAAAGACAAGCCAATCACATTCACACAGGTAACATGTTTCCAGCAGCAGCAGAAGGTTTAGTATTCATAACCTACGAGTGATTCACCTGACCTCACCCCCCCCCACTCACCCTCTTTATCCACAGAAACACATGCCCTACTTCAGGAGAAGAATGGTCTGGGAGATTGTAAACCACAAGCTGTTGTGATGTGGTGTGTTCCACCAGAGGAGAACTGTAAGGACACTGTATTGTCAGTTGTACCGTTCTACATCACCAGCTCTTCAGATCAGGACACCAGCGCTGCCATTCCCCGGTCTCCTGAAGACCAGTCAAGACCTCGGCCTACGGGTAATTACAGAAGCAGCTCAGCACTGCCTCTCAGTCTTAAACTCTCTCCCTCTCTTTTTTTTCTAAGTTTAAGTTTCATCAGCATCAGAAACACTGTGGTCCGTGTTGACAGTCAAGAAGCTAATTTTGGAAAAACCACGTCCACACTCTGAGCTGCAGCGTTTGTAAAGTGTGACCAAGTTTACATGCTTTTGTCTTACAGTACAGGGAGATGAGTGTTTTTTTGTTGCCGTTAGCAGTCAGTGTTTGTCACAACTGAACCTCATCCAGATATGACTGCTCTTCAAAAATAAAACAAAATTAAAAGCACCATGCCCAAATTTCTTATTTTTTTATTTTTCAATGTAGAACCAAGTCTTTATTTTTACTCTCTGGCAACCTCAGTGTTACTGACCAGACAAAGTTATTTTTCTAAATTGATCAAAATGTAACGTTGCCTCAGAGGTTGATTTATATGCTGACCAGAATGTGGTCTCTGCCCTGACCTCTGACCTCTGGCCGTATCAGAGTCCAAGTCGTATTTGCAGTCTCTTAAGAGCAGGGTAAGAAAGAGTTTTTATAATTTTCTTATTCAACTTTCCTATTGGTCTTGATACCAGATGTAAATTAAGGTCAAACATCTATTTTATGTATTTTGAGTTGAAGAAGAAAGTTTGGGCACATTCAGTATATTTTGACTTTTGTACATACTTTAAAATGATATACAACCCTTGAACAGTGTAACATACTTTTATATATATTCCTGTTTCCTATCTATTTTTATCTAGATCATGTATGTGTTAGAAATAAATTCTCATGTTATGTGACTGTTGTCTGACTTTGAAATCTGTTAAATCAATCAGTACAACACTAAAAAAAAGTACCATGTGAATCCTCTAGCCAATTGAATTGACTGGCACTTAAATTTCCTATCGTCTTTGACTCCATATTCAGTGACCTTTCAGACTTCACTCTCAGCGCTGAGACAAATCCAGCTACATTTCCTCCATCACTTCCTCCTGTTTGGGCCATAAACACACACAGACACAACATACCACAGTGAAAAAGTTTTATTTTAAAAAAACCAAAACGAAACAACTTCATAAACAAACCAACATTTCATCACTGTTTATTTTTTTGTTTGTTTGTTTTTTTTTTTTGTTTGTTTTAGGTTGTTTTTTTATCCGTAAAAGAAACAAAGACCTGCACCACTGCACGGATGTTTAGTGAAGAGAGGTTTGGTGCAGAGATGAGGTCCGTCACACAGTCTGAGCCTGAACCTTTGACTGAACTTTAGGGGGAAAAAATCAAATCTGATTTCAGAACCATTAGATCAACACAGAGCTTTTCTTCAATATCAAAGATCGACACAACAAAAGTAACAGATAAACCAAATATTTCTCCGCTTCATGGAATAGTTCTCCTTTTGACACCTTTTCCTTCAGCACTAATGCACTTCATCTTCATCTTCATCTTCAGTCTAATCTGAGAAGCACGTCACTATTTACCTCCGGTGAAATGTAAGGCATTTCTGTGAAGTTTAGAATTTGTCCCGTGAATAATCCATTTCCTACAGGATGGTGAGTGATCTGTGTATAAAACACTCATTTATAGACACTTAAAAAAACCCTGCCATATTCTGTCTGTCTTTTTCTATAAACCACTACCTGTCTTTTGGTTTGATAAATTTCCCTTTTTTTTAAATGCAGCATTTCTCTTGTTGTGAAGATGAACGTGTCAGGTGGAGAAGAACGAAAAGAAAAAAGAAATATGAGAGATAAAATCCAGACTTTGAGGTGAGCCTCGGTCACTGTGTGAACATCTGGATTATTGCATTTCTAAAGACAATAAATTAATTGCATAGATCATCAGACCTCGGGTGACGGTGGACGGAGGAGGTGGTAGAGGAATGGACACAGTACCAGCTGTGAATCGTGAGCCGACCTAACAGACTTAGGTTGTGTACAAAAACTGAAACTACGTTTTCTCCTGAAGAATGAGGTAAGTTGAGGTTTTTGAACGTCGAGAATTTCTCCTACACTGATCCCAACTGTTTGGGGTTAAACTGTGAGAACCAAAATTGAACCAAGCATGTGTCGTTCATCCATGGTCAGGATTCATGGTCCTCTGGTGCCGACGTTAGTGACACAAAACTGAGGAGCTGACATTAAAAGAGGAATCTTTAAAGCAGTGTTTCTCCGTGGTCAGACCTGAGGGCCGGGCGTTAGCTACGAGGTTTATACACAACGAGGCACTCGACACTCAGCGTTGTGGTCTGAAGTCGGTGAGTACTGTGTGTACTACAGGAATCCAGGACATCTGAGGTCTGACTTTAATCGTGTTTACCACATTATTTTTTTACCTCAAAATATCATGACAAAAACTACGCAATACAGTCATCGAATCTGATCTGATCAGGACAAAACTGCTGTATGTATAATCATTTGGGCTCTGACCCGCAGAATGTCCTCCATGACCCATTTCCCAGGTCGTGACCCACCATGTGGGAAACACAGCAATTAAAAATCCTCTAACATCAAAAGTGAAACCAGTAAAAGTATGCAAACAAACAAAAACTTTTTTTAAAAAATCACTATTTTAAGCACACCGCACATTATCAAAAATAAAACCAAAGCTTCTTTGAATGAAACTGTTAAAACCGAATGAAGAAAATTAAATAAGAACTAAAAAAAAAAAGGAGGGAAAATGCAGATGTAGTTGCAAACACGCACACCAGGGGTCAGCAATTGGCTGATATCCCTAAGGTCTATTTTAACAGAGTTTTGTCTGAGCTGAGCTTCATCACTTGTGTAATAAATCTCTTATTTACATGCAGCTCTGTGTGTCACGTGACTCCTGGTCCAGGAACATTGGATTTCAGAGTGAAGCAACATTTAGACAACACTTTTCCACAGTTACTCCCAGGAATGACTGAAATCTGCTCTGCTCTAATAAATCCTACTCTAATCTGTCACTAAGTTAAAAGTTAAATTCTCTCTCCCTGTAACTGCTCCTGATTGTCTGCAGCTTTGACCAGATCCACGGATTTGTACATTGAGTCATTGACGGTGAGGGTTTCAATCTGATCCCATCGTGATTTCTTCTTTCCTGTTTGTTTTTGTTTTCTTTCTATTGTCAGACATTTTAATCATTTGACTACGGTGAAGCTCAGAACACAACAAAACACACGACTATGTACAAAAGGCAGGTTTTTGAGCCTGAAAGAGTCAGACTGTACAAAAAGAGAAGTGGAATCGGCAAAAAAAAAAAAAAAACAATTATTAAAAAAAGAAATGGTGTTGAGTTCATCTTTTTCCCGCTCCACCAAAAAAAAGACAACGTTTTCTCATCTTTTTCCCGCTCCACCAAAAAAAGGACGTTTTTTTTCTGAAAATTCTCTGTACACGTGAGAACTCCTTTCTCAACTGTTATCAAAATAGACGCGTCCACTTCTGTTTCTCCATCTGCTCCGCTCTGCCGTCCGTCGTCTTCTTTGCACGTGTGGCCTTAAAAAGAGTTTGTTTGAAAAGATGAGTTTGTAGAAAAAGTCTGTTTTTGTCGATTTGTTTTGTGTAACAGTCCAGATTCCTCTGCAGTTCCCGGTGCCTGACACACGGAGTCTCGGTGCTGAGCCTCAGCAGGTACAGGTACTTCAAGAGTTACTCCAGAAATCTGACCTTAACTGACGAGAGGGAAAGAAGAGACGGTGAGAGACACGACAGGTTCACATTTACCGTCTGTCTTAAAGGGGAAATATTATGCAAAAAATGTACTTTATCTATACAGTTTGTACACACATTTGAATATCTGCAGTATCTGTCTACTCCTTAAGTATCAATTTTAACGATAACAATACGTAATAGCTCTGTGTCTCCTAGGTGGGTCCCACCCCCTACTTTGAGAACCAGTTTTCTAAACCGACCTCTGCCTCCTTTTCACTTGTTATGCTGGTAGGAGTAGGTGGTGTGTTCTGTTGGAGTCTCTATGGCAACAGATTGTTGGACGGAGCTCTCCTGGAAATAAGTGGGTAAAACATTCATTTATGTGTTTGTTTTTTATGTTTAACTGATGGAATCATTAAAATACTAGAAAACACAGGTCATTACCTCGACTGAAATGTTGGCGGCAGGCACTTGGGTGTACTGAGGGATGTAGGTCCCCTGCATAGATGAGTTGGCCGGGAGATACTGCCGGAATATTTACAGGAATATTTAATTTTAAATAAATGTTTAATAGAAATAGTTGTAAAAATTACTGACTCTATATTCACAAATACACGTGCATTTCCCCCCATGTACTGTATTCACAATTACGTCTGTTCACTTAGATATATGGACACATTTTTGAAAGACAGCATCTCAGTCAACCACCAGGGGGCGACTCCACAGATGGCCAAAGAACTCTAGGTGAAAGACCATTAATCTCAATCTCTTCCAAGGTCACAGAGGAGCAGCAGCCAATCACAGCAGTCACCACAGAGGGCGGGGCTACATCCTGTCAGTCCCAGGCTGCAGGGCATGCTGGTAAATACACTCTGCTTCGTATCCATCAACGTCTCTCTTCAACATGTCAGTGTAAAGGCAGTAAAATTGGACTTGGTTGTGAAACGGCACGACTACATCCTGTTGTTGTTCACGGTCTGTGACCTGGACACATTTGACTCATTTCCTGTGTTTGTCCTCACTGATTGTCTTCTCTGCCCTTCGTGTTTCACCTGTGTCTCATTAGTTTCACCTGCTTTTGTTGCCTGTTCTCTTCACACACACACACACACACACACACACACTGAACGTTGACGTTTGCGTCAACATCCTGATCTCTTTAGATTCCCTGTCCTGTCTGCATCTTCCTGTTGGATTATTTTGTAAGTGTTCTTTAGTACAGTGTCATTTCATGGTGCCACGTATGTTAGCATTAGCCTTAGAGCATTTTAGCATTAGCGTATGTTAGCATTAGCCTTTGTTTGTCCTCTATGTGGCCGTTTTCATATTATATCTGTTTTTTTCTGACTTAACTTTTGAGAGTCAAGTGTTTATTTTAAAGGATTTACTTCCTTTTTCTTTTAATATTTATTGCCATTGTATCATCATTCATTTAAAAGCAGGGATTTTATTTTTATTATTTTTTTCTCACTTTTGTTTTTTAAATGTGTCCACTCTGCTTCCCCAGTGTCCAACAATCAAATCAAATCTGTCTCATCATAAAAGCTGGACTAAATGTGTAGGCTTAGCTACACATTTAGCCCAGTTTGTGTCACATACACATATTGTCCACTGGCAGCGCTCTACTCACGGTGCCGCTGCTGCCCATAGAGAGGTGGCTGAGCTGCTGTGTCAGGGGTCCCATCATTGAGGTGGGCTGGATGGACATGGTGTGTTCCATCCCTGGTGTCAGGACCGTTCCCTGTGGAAACCACACACAGTGACGTGAGAACAGAGAACTGAAGACGGAACGAACAATAAATCACACAAACAATAATACTCACTGTGGGGGGCATGATGTAGGACTGGTGGTGTAGCCAGGACGGGTTGTGTACCTGCAGGGTCACAGCACAGACTCAGAACGACGTTTGATTTTAGGTTACGTCTTAGAGTAGTCCATATGTCTGAAAATACTGCAGTACCTGGTAGGTGTTGACAGGTGAATGCATGTAAGGGGAGAGTGAGGTTGTTCCCATCATCCTGTTGGGGGCGATGTTGTATGGAGAGGAGTAGAACCTGCAGAAAGAGAGAGGATTGAACACACATATACACGTGCAAATATATACACAGACCTTTGTCTAATAACTTGTTTTTTTTTTTCAATTGACATTTTTAATTAATCTTTGTTAATCGCTGTTTATTGTGGGTTGCGTTGTACTGGTGTGCTGAATTTATATATGTATATATATATAGGTATAATATATAGGTATATGTGTATATATATATATATATATATACACATGTATATATGTATATATATATAATCCTGATAGATACAGGAAATACTTCTGTATACTAGTACTAACCCGTTCTGTAAGGCTGTGGTGGGGTCGTAGGTGAGGGTCATTCCACCCTGAGGGGTAAAAAGAAAAACATGAAGCCATTATGATTCTGTGTGTGACTAACCTCAGGCTACAGAGGAGAAGTCACCAACTCACAGTGTCCCCGTCTCTGCTCCACAGTCGGCCGTTCTGCAGATATTTTCCTTGGCTCTGACGCTTCTTCTGGCCTCCATCAGCAAATTTACACAACAACGGTTCTGGCGGAACTGGAACAGGTATTTATAAATTGAGCAATTACTGTACTGTTACAGACGCAGAAGAATGTCTGAATTGAAATGGTCTGCGTCTAAGAAAGTTGATTTAAAAAAAAAAACCCAGTTTGGACTCAGAGCCTTGAATCTGACCTGGAACTCCTGGAGGAGTCTTGATGTATTTCCCATTGAAGTGTTGGATGATGGCTTCACATTTCTCTGTGGACTCCATCCTACAACGAACCATAATGTGAACGTCAACAAAGAAAGTCAGCAGAAGTCTGTGACTGAGCTGCACAGCAATGAGGCAAACACCAGGGGGAGTCAATTTTTTCTGACCATTTTCAAAATGGTAAAGTAAAAAAAACAGTTAACAGTATAAACAGTCCTTATATATATATGGAATTATACTTATGTATATGATTAATTTTTAGAACCTTTCCAACTACCCTTGCATTCCCATATGTTGTTTTTTTATTAGCCACAAGAGGGCACACTTCCTTAGATTTCAGTTTGAGAAATCAGCCTTGTTCTTCAGCCTGATTTATTCCTCAGGCTGAAAACCATCAAATCACAAATGAAAGGCCACGCAGACGTGACGTAGAGTCGTACCTGGCGAATCCCACTCCTCTGCTGGTGCCGTTGGCGTCGCGGAGGATACGAGTAGAAATGGCCTGGCTGAAGGGCTTCAGCATGTTCTCCAGCTCCTGCTCGTCCATGGACAGAGGCAGGTTGGAGATGTAGAGGTTGGTGGGGTCCTGCTCCTGTTGCTGCACACACACGGAGAGACAGACGTTACCACCACACTCCTCAGCCACGTGTTAGTGAGATCATGTTCGCAGGTGTTCAGTTGGTTTGTCAGTTCATGTTGTTTGTGATCCTTTATCACGCAAACAAAAAAAGTTTCACACGCTGCGTAGACTGCGAGGACATCTGCGTCACCAGCTGCAGATAATCCTAATCTGCTCGTCTGATTTTAAAATGAAACAACCTCCTGTTCTCCTAAACTCTTTGTTCTTAATCAACGCTGTGATCAGTGAATATGCTGATGACGAAGAGAGAGAGAGAGAGAGAGAGACCTCTCAGGGGCGTCAGAGCAGCTGGATCACAGGTAATGTGATATCACAGCATAATTACATTTCCACCGGCTCTTCCTCTACGGATGATCTACGACCGCCGCACTTCTGCTCAGAGCCGAATCGCACGGCTGCTCTTTAAGACAAATCTTTTAACGCAGAGCCATTGTGCAAAATTATCTTTGTCAGTGAGGGCGCAGCACGATGTTCATTTCATTTGTTTACTTTTTGCTACAGCTAGCACAAGGAGGAAGGCCTTACTGTAATTTCTAATTTACTGCAGTGTAATTGACATCTAATTAGGTAACATGTGGCCCCGGAACCAAAATGAGTTTGACACCCCTAACTGGAGCATTACTGCCACCATGTGGCCGAAAGCTGCACTGCAACCGATCTTCTCATGGATGACATGAGTATCTCTGGTGTCTTCAGTTGATAACCTATGCAGTCCTGCGGCCCTGTGGTTGAGAATCACTGCTTTACACATCAGATTCTCAGATTAATTACCATTCGTTTCATATCGTGTCCCCATTAAACAGGACCAGAGGAATTCTAAATATTATCATCTCCGCAGAAGACAAACTTAATTATCTCTCTCAGAGCTACGTGTTTGTAAAAATATGTCCCTCATATTTTAGCAGATTCCTTCACCTGGAAATCCTGACCTTGAAAGTTAGCTGACGGTTCAACTCCGACTGCCAGAGTTAGGCAGAAGAAATCATGCAGCGATAACATTTGGAATTTCTCTCCTTTTTTTTGACATAGAGGGAGTGGAGGGGGGGAGGGGGGGGATAATAAAGCATGGGTGATTTTTAAAGGTGCTCCTGTTTCATGTGCAGGATTTTTCCTTCCTCTGCCTGATGCCTACACCAAGAAACCACGTCCGTGTCAGCCTCCAACCTCGCTGCATATTCATGATCTCCGAGAACAGATGTGATTAAAAACCTGTAAATGTGGCGTGAATTAATTTCCACTCTATAAATAATGCATGTGCAATCGCTGAGACCCGTGGTGAAGGTGATTTCTTCGTCACCTCTCTCTCCTCTTCCTCTTCCTCCTCCTCTCCTGCTCTGCAGGAGTGTGAAGTGAGCCAAAGATGAACCCAGACTTCACCAGAGTGAGCGGAGGTAGGAGAGAGAGTGCTGCTCTGGATTTGAACCACGGATGAGTCACAGAGAAACCTGACACACGTCTGAGTCCTGGTGTAATCCTGCAGTGACGCAGCCGCGGAAATGGAGTGAATTTTGTGAGCGGACGAACCTCGTGAACCTCGGTGATTCAGTCTGAACTCAGATCGCATTTCCCGAAACGTTGGTGGTGTGTGTACTTGTGTGTTGTTATCCACAAGTGCATGCATGCATGTGTGTGCGTGCGTGTTGACAGGGCGGGCGGCTGGTCGACCAGGCACAAGGCCCTGCTGACGGTGGAGCTGCTCAGACACTGAGTCAGATGTCAGCAGAGGAAACAGACAGGTCCTTTGTGCCCAGTCCAGACCAGAGACTCACTCCAGCAGCGTGGTTATCACTGAGCACCACACACACACACACACACACACACACACACACCAGTACTGCAGGAGTACCACAGTACTCTGTGCAGCTCTCTGCAGCCGTGTACTCACAGCATGCACCGACGTACAGTACGCTGATGCTGCACAT